CAGGGGGGCTGAATAATTTTGCACATCGCACTTTTCAGTTTTTTATTTGTAAAAAAATGTTTTGATTCATGTAGTGTTGGTCTTTCACATTAAATTCCAGTGAAATATATTTATGTTTGTGGTTGTAATGTGACAAAATATGGAAAAGTTCAAGGGGTATGAATACTTTCGCAAACCACTGTATACTGTGTACGTCAGGTGTGCCCATTACATAGATCGCGATCTACCAGTAGCTCGCGGAGGCGGTTTAGGTAGATCGCCTCTTTGCATTTTTTTTCTACAGTTAGGAAAGTGCTACATTTACATTTTTGTTAAAGATGTTACTTGCCATGATGCGAAAAAATATAAAGTCAGTTTCTTATTTGTTTTTGGTTTAAATAAACAATAAACGTTTAATTGGTAGTACAAATGTGAAGTGTTTGATACCTTGGAAAGAAAAGTAGATCTCGGCAAAGCGGAAGCCTCAAAAGTAGATCTTGGTTTAAAAATGTTTGGGCACCCCTGGTGTACATGATCGTATTAAAAGTTACAGTTTAGTGTTCGTAGGACTGAAGACTTTCTGAGGAAAGAGGCTTTTAAACATCTCTTCTATCATTTAAGTGTTTTCAACTGAGGGACTTTGATTTATCTATTAAAAAAAATATAGCAGAGAAGATTCTTCACATAAAAAAAATATAAAAAGAAAAGTCAAACGTAGACATGTCTTTAAAATATGACCCCCTCCCCTCCTCCTCCTCCTCCCCAGCCCACGTGGCTGCGGTCTGCTTGCACCTCCACCCCACCCGTGTGTGATTAATACTGATTATTTTTGTGTAAATTACAGATTTTTGATGCTCATTATACACGTAAACGTCTGAAGGGGTTGACATGAATGGACTTTTAAGAGTCCTGGGCTGGTCTGAGCTGCGCTACAGGTGGACAGGTTCAGGTTTTTTATTCTTGGTTGTCCACCGGACAACCGGGAGGCAGGATCTGTTGTCCGAAATGAAAATAAATAGTCTCGGACAACCTAAACAATGGTCGTATCAACCCCTGTTTTACATTGGTAAAAAAAAACTTCATTCTGAAGGTGTGGCAGCTTTTATTTTGCCGTGGCAGAGCGCCACGGTTAATTACATGTAGGGGAAACCCAGAGTGATGTGTGGAGCAACTAAAATCGAACTGTGTGATCATTTCTACGTTCTTACAGGATCTCGTATTGCCAGCTGGCTGCCCAGTTTTTCAGTGGAAGTGATGCACACTACTAATATTTTGGGTATCGCTCAGGCCAACAACTCTCAGCTTACAGCCATGGTAAGCTCATGTTTACAATAGCCTGAATTTCTAATTGGTTATATAGGAGACTGCAGAAATAAACTTTTAAGCCTCTAAGAACAGCACAAACTGGAGTTATTTATTTGTTTCTTCTTTCTAAACTTAAAAATAATATAATGAAAATGCTTGTTATTTGACGCTTGTGGTGTCAGTATCCTGCTTTGAGAAATGGTTTACAAAAATATTTATTATACATGATCTGGCTAAAATATATAAAATTATGAGATGGTGTTGCAGACCTTTTTTTGTTTAACTTCCACAATTTTTTTGCTCTTCCTTCTGCACTTTCTAAATTTTTCCTCTGTTATTATTTTTCCCCTCATAAACCGTCTGATTAACAGGCCCATCAGATTCAGGAGATGTTCCCTCAGGTGCCTTCCTACCTGGTAATGCAGGACCTGCAACTGACCCGCTCTGTAGAGGTCACCACCGACAACATTTTGGAGGGGCGGATCCAGGTGCCCTTTCCTCCACAGGTGATCTTTTTTTTTACTACTTAATTTTTCCTTTAAATTAATGCACAATTACTTACATGGACAACAGAGTTTTTTCTTCTTCCAATTTTTGAGATGTATTTTGTTTTGTAAGGCCATTGAACGTGGTCCTCTACAGGTGGGTCCTGCACCAGATGAGGATGCAGGTCCCAGTGGAGATGCTGAGCAGAACCTCGATGAGTCCGATAACATGGAGGTCCGAGGTGGTCGCTTTTCCAAGTCTGCTGAGGAGAGGCAGAACATGCTAAAGCAGAGGAAAGAAGAGATGCTTCAGCATGCACGCAGGTTTGGATTCTGCAAATTTTAGTTTTCTGCTTCAGAAGATGTCTTCCAATAAAACTTAGATTGAAAGAAATTTTGTTTTTACAGGGTCAAGTGGTGAAAATTGTGAAAATAGAGCTTTACATTCTTCAAAGTTGCTTGATTTTAGTTGTAAATCCCAAGAATGGCAGATAATAGGTTTAAAGTTTACACAAATGTTCACAACTGGCTGGCTTTTCAGTTTTGATTGATCTGTTTTTTCTACGATTTTTTTTTCTTGTTTTGTGTCTCTGTAGGAGGTTTCTGAACAAGACTGAAGAGAATCAGGAGGAGGATTTGCCCAGATTGGAGGAGGACTCTGCGGCAGAACTGACCTTAACAATGCTGAGACGTACAACCATGGCAGAAGCTGTGGAGAGACGCATGCAGAATCAACAAGAACCTACGCCCTGATTCTACAGATCAGCTTTATCAGGAGACTGGACCACCTCACCATCCCATGAGGCAACAAGAGCTCTATTACAACCTTCCCCATTTGATTTAGTCATTGGTCATCATCTATTCAAAACCGTAATTAAAAAAGTAGCAAACATGGCCTGTGGACTGTTTTGGGCTGCCTGAAGAAGGTGAGACTGGTGAAAGTGGCCTCTCCATCACTAATTCCGTTTTGAGTATTTGGAGCGTTATATATAAATGAATGGGTAGATGCAGGTCAGGACTTGCACGGTTGCATTGCCCATTGTTCCAGTGCCACACTTTGCAACCACCAGCTTAGACAGTATCTGTCAAAAATTTGGATTTGCTCAAATGTCTTTGCATGTTTTGCATTCAGAAACTAATACAAAAAAATCTATATTTTACATGAAGTGTTAGGAGGTATCATTTAAGCTACTACAAGTTTTTTTTTCCCTCTTACTACGTCTGGTCACTTGTTTTGCTCATGGCTGAAAACTGTATCCCAGATGAAGGTCATCTGGTATCTCAGTGTGTTAAAAGTTTCAACTGTGAATTGAATAGCAAGATGTTTTTTTCTTACTATGGAGTAAGAGAATGTCACTTTAATATTGGTCAGCCTTTCAGTCAGCCATGAATGTCTCTATGAAAATAATGCTGCAAAGTGTTTTTGACCTGCATTGTTCTTTTTTTTTCCTCTCCTGTCGAGTGTGTTCTGTCACCCATCTCAGACAAGAGATACTTTGGCAAGAAATTGGGATGGATTACATTTTCTACTTGTACACTGTAGGTTTACCTCAGCTTTCCTGTTTTTATTTACCCTTTACAAATGAGCAGTCAATTATTTATGTAATTTTAATAAAAAAAACTTCTGCTGGGGGTTCAAATCAGGTCAAAATGTTATTTAAAATGGCTCAAGTTTGCAGTGGTTTCACTTGCTGTTTGTATTTTTTATTTTATTATTTTTGGATGACATGAGGCTTCATCAGTTTTTCTGTGCTTCAACTGGAAATGGCACGTTTCAAAAATAATTTGAAAAACATATCTAGCAAACGTGGTTAAATTGGACTATGAGGCTCTTTATTTTCTACAAGAAGAATGATTTGGAATCGATGAAGAACTTTTCGAATTTGTGCGGCCTTTATGTAAAGTGCTAATAGTAAAATCCTAACAGTGGCGAACGTGCTCCAATACTTTATTTTGTTAAAGTACAGCACTGGATAACAACTTATTTTTTTCTTTTAGTGTTTTTAATTTGTCAAATTTCACTGAATCTGTTGCTGATTGAGACATATCAATGTACACAAAGTGGAGACTATTAAAGTTTGCTATCATTACAGCACAAAGGATAGAGTGGGTGAGTCATGCATTAAATGTAAAGAACTGTTTTTGTATCCAACAGATCCCACCAACTTCCACTAAAAACTGAAGTGTTGTCTTTATTGTGTTTTTTCTTTTTAGTGCTCGGACTTTGTTTCGGAGTGCTATATGAAGTTATATATTTTAAATTTACATTTTTAAAAATGTGTAAAAAACAGCTTTTTTTCAGTTGCAGCTTATTTTACTTGACAATTTAAACAATTCATATTTTCTTGGTCATGGTTTACTTTTCAGAACTTTCACGTATTTTACGTACTTTTTTCTTTTCTTTTTTCTTGACTGAGCTTTCAAGTATTTTGTGCCTAAATCGAAGAAGGTTTAGACCACAATCTCTGTAAATCAAGCTTTTTTGTAAAATATGTTGATATGAAAGACTCAATAAACGGAGCTTCTTGGGCTTTCTAACCATTGTGTACTCACATTTTGTTTAATCCCATCCTTCTCACCACATTTCTAAGAGGAACTCATCTTGTTTTTGGCTTTACAGGATTTCTGAAAGTTCTTAAAATGCTGTCATCTTAATTTTACACTTTGAGTCTTAAATATGTTCAGATTTATGGAAGCCCATTTCCGCCACCCTGATAAAAAAATAAATAAAACTTGTATCTCATAATTATGACTTAGCTATCTCATCATTATGAGATAGTATCTAATGAGATACTGTCTCATAATTATGAGATACAAGTATTATTAAGTAAGTTATTTATTTTTTATCAGGGTGGCGGAAATGGGCTTCCATACAGATTGATTAATTTAGATAATAAAAATACATTTAGTTGTCTTAAATGTGCATGTTTGATTCATTGCTTTTGTTGGAAGGACTTTTTTCACATTCAGCTTTTCTCACAAAATAATTCCAGTCGTCTGCTCCTGAAACAGTTTTTCATTAATTAAAATCACAATTTGTTAATTTAAAATAAAATTTGCAATCACTTATTTTTTTAATCATGCATACGATCGAATCGTGCGTCTTTTTAAGGTCTTAAAATTTACTTGAAACTTACAGAAACCCTTAAACACTACTTCCTCAGAATTGCAAATAGAGTAACTTATTAAAAATAAAATAAATCAACGGTATGTAAGCAAAAAATAATGATTTGAAGCTTTAGTTTATCAATTTAATATAAAGGTTCTCAAAGTTCTCAAAAGTGTTGCAGCAGACATGACTTGTTGATAAAATTCGTGAACAGGTGTAACACCGTATTTTGTGACCGTCATATATTGTGACTAGAGGGGGCGCTGTTGCGTTGCAACAACAGAACTTGGCCGAAACACAGGCTGAAGACGAGAAGAAAAAAACAAAAATTGTTGACCACATTGTCACAGAATATGACAGCTGTCATATATTGTGACTTCACTGTGGCTAAGGAAATAGTAAATAATTTTATTCAAAAACTACTTATACTAATTGTTTACATCCTCTAGTGTCAGAAAAATAACTTTTGAATACTGACATGGTGACTGTTATTAAATTAGTACAGGGTCACAAAATATCATAGCTATTATCATGTATAGTAGTAATAATAGTAGTAGTAATACTACTTACTAATAGTAATAGTCAACATGATCAGAAGTTATTTTTCTGACATTAGAGGATGTATACAATGAGTAGAATCGGTTTATGAATAAATATTTTTACTATTTACCAAGCTACAGTGAAGTCACAATATATGACAACAGTTGTCATATTTTGTGATCTCTGGGTAACTTGGAGTATCATACTCTTCTTTGTGGCTATTTTCGGCCAAGTTCTGTTGTAGAAACGCAACAGCGACCCCTCTGGTCACAATATATGACGGTCACATGGTGTAACACCGGCTCAAACATCTGCAGACACCTATTTGCTCAAAGTAGGCGTTTCTAAAGCTTAAACACTGATTGGCTAGTTGTATTATCTCTGTTTCCCAGTTGGTTCTTCTGATTCGTTTTTCTTTCACTTTTGACTTTAACTACCTTCACATTAGTTTTAGCAGCCAAAACTAATTTTGTTTATGTGGAGATAATGAAGACATGGGTCGGTATCTTCTTTAATAAACAAATAATAAAGACGTTATCGGTCCGACACTGTCGGCATCTTCATATAAACATATAATAACAACAGCTAACATATTATTCTCCCTGCTTTTATTATCCCCAACCAAGTCTTTTAATTACCACGGTAATAATAAGTTCGTGAAACTAAATATTATGAATATAAACATGAAAGTCCGATGCTAGGCCGCCTATTTTTATTCGTCCAATCAGGTGTGTCCCTTGAAAAAATGTCGTCCAATCAGGTGTGTGTGTCTCTTGAGAACCGCCTTCCTTCGGAAACAGCTGCTTCTCGTCTACAGAGACACCTCCTTGCTGTTACTCCGCCTAAAAACATTTTTGGAAACTCGACCCCAGTTTGGAAACCACTGGTCCAACATGTGCATACTAGTAGTTGGAGTAAGAAAGGACCGCAAACCCGGTTTGTTTTATTTTGGACGTCATCAGGGTGCGCCAATAATGTGCCACGTCATACGAAAGAAGCGGAAGTAGCCGCCCGGTGTTGAATGTAACGATGTAGCCCAGCCTCATTCACCAGTACAGTATAACTCACTACTCTGACTAACTAATCCCAATGCGTTAATCCAACTGGACCGTCTTCTGCTGGCTTTCATTGGTGAGTAGTTACCATGCGGCTCACCGCCATGATATAGTTTGATTTAAAATAGTCGGAGCTCTGACATTTATTATCTCGACATGTTAACTTCAGTAAAAGTGGCCTCAGGTTCGACAGGACTCCAGTCGAGTCACTGAAAGCTTCCAACACAAATGATACTTAGTTTACTAATTATTTAGATACGTATGAACGTGAAAAAGTCGCGTAATTATGCAGACAACGTTACTACTTTCAACATGGGCTTTTTAGTGTCCAATGTGTAGTAGTAGTAGTAGTAGTTGTAGTAATAGTAGACTACTACTACTACTACTACTACTACTACTACTACTACTACTACTACCACTACTACTACCACTACTACCACTACTACTAGTACTGTAGTAGTAGTAGTAGTAGTAGTAGTACTACTACTACTACTACTACTACTACTACTACTACTACTACTAGTGGTAGTAGTAGTAATAGTAGTGGTAGTAGTAGTAGTAGTAGTACTACTACTACTACTACTAGTAGTGGTAGTAGTAGTAGTAGTACCACTACTACTACTACCACTACTATTACTACCACTACTACTACTACTAGTAGTAGTGGTACTACTAGTACTACTACTACTACTACTACTAGTAGTAGTGGTAGTAGTAGTAGGGGTAGTAGTGGTAGTAGTAGTAGTAGTAGTAGTCTACTACTATTGCTACTACTACCACTACTACTACTACTATTACTACTACCACCACTACTACTACTACCACAACTACTACCACTACTACTAGTAGTAGTACTACTACTACAGTACTACTACTACTATTAGTAGTGGTAGTAGTAGTAGTGGTAGTAGTGGTAGTAGTAGTAGTGGTAGTAGTAGTAGTAGTAGTAGTAGTGGTAGTAGTAGTGGTAGTAGTTGTGGTAGTAGTAGTAGTAGTAGTAGTAGTAGTAGTGGTGTAGTTCTCTACAAGGAAACACTTCACTCTTGGCTTTGGTTCGTGATGAGCAGAGAAAGAAACTGTGATTTGATGCTGGAAACGAGATTCAGGAGGTTTAAGTCAATATTAGTTTTTCTTTGTGAACAAGGTTTGTCATCTGTACACATCCTGCACAGAGTTTGGCCTTGTCCTGGAAGAGAGGAGTCATCATGAATGAAAGCAGGACGTCACGACACGTTGTAAAATGATACAACATGTGGGTGTGCCCATCGTATCAAAACCAGCTCGTTGGTCAACCTCTAGATCCTGAACGTTTTGCCAAGTTAGGTTGTTTGTCAGGTCAAAGTTCTTAGAGTTAGTGTGGGTCCACATTATTAACGTGTGTAAGTGTTTTCTATGTAATTTTCAGGCTGTTGGCTTCCTGTTCTGAACAGGACAGGTGTGTGTGTGTCTGTGTCTGTGTGTGTGTTTCCTAGACAGAGTTTGTGGAATGCTGCTTGACGAGACTCCGCTTTTCGAGCCCTCTCTGCTTCAGGAGCTGGACTGGAGCGGCAACACCGTTTCCTTCTCCCCACCAATCTCACCGACTAATCCAGGAGACGGCCTGGTGCTCAGGCCGCTGCGCACGGCGGATTTCAACAGAGGTGAATCTGAACAGCAGTTTTCAGACCAGTGTTTGCATCAGAAGAAACTAATCTTTTTATATAATACATTAAAGTTAAAGAAAAACTCAACCTAGAGAAACTAGAATTACATTTTTCCTTTTTTTGTTGCATTTTTTTTCCTCCCAGGATTCTTCAAAGTTTTATCCCAACTTACCCAGACAGGAGATGTCACTCCGGAGCAGTTTGTCAGTAAGCAATGTTTATAAAATATTAAATTATAATATTAAAATTATGTTTTTTAGGGTACTTACCCTTAACGTTCTAATGATCTTCAGTTTATACATCATCTTGTTACAACTTTCAAAATCATTTTAGCCTGCAACTGAAACAATGACAATTGACTATTATGTGTTTTATATATTCAAAAATTAAATATTCAAAACAAGATTTTATTTGGCAAAAATCAAGTTTCTTCTATAAAGAAAGTTACAAATCTAATAAAACAAATGAGCATGGAATTGAAATGTTGCAGCTGGGGGAGGCAAGTGCAGTCAAAACTACAGAGAAGCTCAAAATTCAGACATAACAAGTGTTTTTTTTTAAAGAACATGGCAGGATTTCTCTAGTCATTCTGAAAGTAGACCACACAAATGCAGGAGTTGTGGGAAAAAGCCTTGGGTTGTCATAACACCTCCCAGAAAGTACACTTCATCACCACAACAAAATCTAACAAACTCGTCATGTTTTCTTGTTTACCTTCAGATAAATTCAGACTCATGAAGACAACAGGGGACTACTATGTTGTTGTCGTGGAGGACACAAATCTGGGACAAATTGTTGCTACGGCCACATTGATCACCGAACACAAGTTCATCCACTCCTGTGCTAAGGTATAACACACTCACCAAACTGTGGGGGTATAAATAATAGTGGGTACGGCTATTGTCTCATTTCCTTCTCACTAATCGTATAAGTTAAACATTAACGCACTGTTTATTAGGTCAATAGTCATTCAGTTTAGTCATCTAGCTGACTGCTATAAATGAGTTACAATCATATTGATTCTCTTAAAGCAGCGGTGTCCAAACATTTTGTCACGTGGGCCAAAATCATAAAGTCAGAAGGACTTGACCGCCTAAGATATTTTTCTTTTACCTGCTCAACAATATAAGCAATGAATTCTTTAATTAAACAAATAGTCTGATTCATTGTTGGAAATGGATGTGTAAATTAATCTAGATCCAGAACTTAAAGTGTTTTGCAGGTTTCCCTTATTGAAAGAAATTTTCTAGGTTTCAATTGGGGAAAAAAAATAACCCAATTTAGTCAATTCTGATCAATAAAATCAGGATTTAGTAGAGCTGGGCGATATGATCAGAATTTTATATCACAGTATTTTCAACATTTTCACCGGTTTCACGGTTTTTGACGGTATTTTTCTTTTCATCACAGCTCAGCTGATAATAAAATGTACAAACCCTGCTTATTGAGTTTTTTCTCTTTTACTGTACCTCTGTCTGTGTCTCTGTTTCCCTCCTCTGTGTCTGTTCTTCTCTGACTGGTGGTTGGAGACAGTAGTCATGCATTTTGGTCCAGTCGTGAAGGAGGAGGGTTAAGAAAAGATTATGATCGGGTTTATTGTTTTATGTTATTTATTAAAGCTTATCAGCACGACTCACCTTGCACACCAGTCAGTTCCAACTCCACTACAAACTACTTCCTGCAGCTTTTCACAATAGAACCACGTTAAGTCTCCATCAGCATCACGTCTCCATTATTAACTAACCGTGTTAAATCTAACTGTGCACGTCACCGAAGAGGTGTTTACTACGTTCAGCGATGGCGAAAACAGGATGTTTTTTTAAACGTCAGTCAATATAAGCAGCGGAATCGCCACCCCCTGCTGCAACTAGCTGCTCCAAACATTAGCATGCTAACGCACATAGCAGTGCAGCAAGGAAAAATGTCCCCCGGGAAACAGTTCACTGGCGGCCGTGACGAAACGTTCCGCTATTTAAACCGGAATGTCCGGTATTCAAAAAATTCATATCATAACAAAAATAAAAACCGGTATTTGGTACAAAACGGTATACCGCCCAGCACTAGGATTTAGATCACGCTTTCATTGAAAATGCTTTCTGTATTCAGACGAATTTAATAAATGAATTAAAAGCAGATTGCAGGGCAGCAAAAACAGCTTTTGAGTAGAAGTCACTAAAGCTAAGAGTCTGGTTATTTAAAGACAAATAATTGGTATTATTGCTAATATTTTTTTATTGTAAGATTTTACTTTGTGATAAATTTGCCCTAATAATAAATAGAAAGTCTTCATCTACATCAAACACCTGTGCTGGGGGACAAATTTATAAATATCCATCCATTTTCTGTGCACGCTTCTTCCTTTCAGGGGCATACCCAGCAGTCACAGTGCGAGGGGCGGGGTACACCCTGGACAGGTTGCAGGTCCATCACAGAGATACACATAGAGACAAATGAGACAATCATTCACTCACACCTAGGGACAGTTTAGAGTTATCAATGAACCTAACAGTCATGTTTTGGTCTGTGGGAGGAAGCCAGAGTACCCGGAGAAAACCCACGCCTGCACGGAGAGAACATGCAAACTCTACCCAGAAAGGTCCCCGGGCTGGGATTAAACAAATTAGTATAATTCTTGAACTGAAGTCAGGGGCCACAAATGCCCCCCGGGCCACACTTTGGACATCTCTGTCTTACAGATATAAAGTTTGTGAAAATGTTAATCGATCTTGAAAATGAGTAAAGCTAAATGTGTTTGATTTTGTTCGTAGCGGGGTCGGGTGGAGGAGGTTGTGGTCAGCGATGTGTGCAGAGGGAAGCAGCTGGGGAAACTGTGAGTAACAGCCTGGTGTTTTGTTTCATAAACTATTTGCCAAATCCCAAAAGTCTTTTCAGAATGTCCTCCTGTAGAAGGAAAAAAAAAACACGTTTTTTTATTAAACTGTCCTCATCTCTTTTCTTTCTTTTCATAGGTTAGTGTCAACGCTCACTCTTCTCAGCAAAAAACTGAACTGCTATAAAATCACTCTAGAATGTGCACCCAAAAATGTGGCTTTCTACCAAAAATTTGGCTACGGCGCTTCAGATGAGACGTACATGCAGCGCAGATTCCACGACTGAGGACTGCTGCAGCTTTGACCATCGGTTCTTGGACCATTTTTGTATTTTCAATCAGCACTTATTATAAGGGTCTTAAACACCAGGGAAACTTCCTGGTGTTGAGTTTGCGGTTGTGTCATACATGAAGACGTCGTCATCTCAAAGCACTTGAATAAACTTCTGTACGTTGAAGCCAAGAAACTGATCTGCCCCTTTGGTAAGCAGGGCTGCCTCATCAGGGTGGAGTCAGTGCTCGTCTTCTTTTCACCCAATGGGGAAAAAAAAAAAGCCAGTTACTGTAAACTCAAAGTTTATTTGGCTTCTTGGAAAATAATGGTTGTGTATAAACAGGAAAACTAATGTTTAGTAAAACTGAACAATCAATTAAAAAAAACACCTAATTTTATTTTATTAAAAACTGAAATAAAAACCAGCAGCCAGCAGGTTTTTATAACCAATAGATATATTTTTCTTTTTAGTCAATGGGACAATTACACGGGATTTGGGTTTATTTTACTTTTTTTTCTTTAATCTCTTAGCTTGGTACAAAGCTCTTTCTCTTCAGGTCTTCTGTTGCTGAATACTTAAAATAAAATTCTGAATGCTACGAGACAAGAAGCATTATAATGACTGTTATAATGTTGTCAGTAGGGGGAAAAACAGCATTTAAAGAAGCAGCGGTACAAATTTAATAAGGGTTTTTAAGTTTTGCATTTGGTCTACAGCTCAGCTGTCATTTTGTAACTGGAAACAATTATAAATAATTTTTGTAAATTAGCTTTTATTTAACCTTTTGTAGTTGTTTTATAATTATGCTTTTATTCTGGAGAACGGTAATGTATTTAATATAACTTATTTCCAAGTGGGAGCCCAATAAAATATTCTACAATCAGTGGTTCTTGCATTTTTGACAATTTAAAGAAGCAAGTTTTCCATGTGCACCGTTGTAAAAATGGTAAACTACAAATTTGTAAATATACTTTTACAACTTAAAAAACTTTAGTTTAAATTCCTTATATTAAAGTTCAAGAAAACCATGATTATTGGTTTCTCACAAAGGTTATTACATGTCGACACTGAATTCTTTTACTGCAAATGATATAAAAATATTTAATATCTTCATTGCATTTCTTTCTAAATGCAGTCATAGTTCCAGTGGGGCCCTCATATCCTTTAGTTAAGCAAACATATTGGTTTCATTGTCCGAAACAGGTAGCACTTGTAAATAGAACGTTTAATTGACAATGTGTTTTTTAATGGATTGTTATAAATTAACAATTTAGAAAAACTCAAAATGAATATCTACAGAAAACAAATTGTGACTTCAGTTCAGAAATACATAACTGAATAAAAGATGAGAGACAGGTGTACAGTACTTAGGACTTTTATTAAGCAGTGTTATTTTTATGTTCGTGACAGCGCCACCTGAAGCCTGATGTTAGTTCATGATTCTATTATTCCTGAAATAAAGACATAGCTACTCCTCTCACATCCTCCGCTGGGAAACATTCAGCCTACCTTCCTTTTCTCCAATGTTCCCAGTCTGCTCGACTAGACTAATTCAAGTATTGAAAGTGCATTATTGCAATACTGTCCCGCTGCAAATGCAAAATGCTTTAAATACTATAAAACTGCAAAAAATCTCCCATCAGTGCATACAGCTCAGAAAAACAAACAAAACAAAGTTAGCCAGTTCGCCCCACGTCCATCAGAACTCCATGTCTCAGACATGAGTAGCTGCCCACCCACTTACCCACCCTCCTCCCTTCCCCTTAGAAAAAAGTTCAAATATTTACATTTTTAATCCCATTAAAAATGTAAAAAGTAAGAAAAGAAGAGTGCACAGTGCCACGCAGCTTATTATTTGCAGAGCTCATCCGTCCTGTGTTGCTGTGACCTGCATCACTCCAAAATCTTCATCCTCCTCCAGGCTGCGTTTGTGGCTTCCTGTCAAATAATAATGACAAAATAAAATATATATGCTGCTTTAAAGAGTCTCATGTTAAAGCCATGATCTTTACTATTAAAACTAATTCTTTTTTTTAATAGAGAATGTTCCAAATAAACTAAAGAACATTTTGGCTGCGTCTCAATTCAGGGACTGCAGCCTACCTAGACCACGGCCCAAGAACTCCATGTAGGCGGTTTAAAACATCTGAAATCAGACGGTCTAGCCTTCACGTGACGTTTAATATGAAACGTCTTCAGTCTTAAAATGTGTTGGGACATACACTCCTGATCAAAATCTGAAGACCAGTCAAAAAAGTGCAAGAATTTGCATTTTGCACTATTGGATCTTAAGAAGGTTCTAAGTAGAGCTTCACAATGTTAAAAGAAGAAATCAGTGCAAGAGACAAGAACTTTTGAGCAGGGAATTTTCTGAAAACTGCAAGGGATGCCTTTCAGAGTGCACACGAGCAATTAGCAGCAACATCTTTAATGGCTTATCAGAATCACATTGCATTAGACTATTTATTGGC